GTCGCGGGTCTATAAGGCAGAAGGACCGTCGTTGCTCTATAAGGCAGATGGACCGTCGTTGGTCTATAAGGCAGATGGACCGTCGTTGGTCTATAAGGCAGATGGACCGTCGTGGGTCTATAAGGCAGATGGACCGTCGCGGGTCTATAAGGCAGAAGGAACGTTGCGGTTCTAAAAGGCAGAAGGACCGTCGTTGGTCTATAAGGCAGAAGGAACGTTGCAGTTCTAAAAGGCAGAAGGACCGTCGTTGGTCTATAAGGCAGAAGGAACGTCGCGGGTCTATAAGGCAGAAGGACCATCGCGGGTCTGTAAGGCAGAAGGAACGTCGCGGGTCTATAAGGCAGAAGGAACGTCGCGGGTCTATAAGGCAGAAGGAACGTCACCAATCTGTAAGAGGGGCAACAAGCAGAGGGGCAACAAGCAGAGGGGAACAACCCCTCCCCTAGCTATGAAACCAGACTTCCTGTTAGCAGGACGGATTAGTTACTGCTTGAGCTAGCTAGCCCCTAAGCCTTTTAAATCTAAATAGAACCAATCTCTAAAATCTCTCCTCAGATAGAAGGACTGAAATTCACATCAGTGATAAAGACACCATTTTATTATCTGGACCCAACCGAACCAGAACACTCCAGAACACTTGAGCTCAGGTCTAGGCATCGGTCCAGTATGTTGGAAGTGAATCAACCTGCGGGGGGCGCTGTGGGGTGTATTTGAGGGTAGCATACTTGTCAGCGTTCTTCACAGCTTTAGCCAGCAGCTTGGAGGTGGACGCAGCCTTCACAAGCTTGTTCTTGTTCCTGTCTGAGGAATCCCAGGTGCTGCTCTGAGAACGTTCCATCCCTGAAGACCGCTTCACGCTGGGACCCCTGGACAAACACACATCGCTGTGAGGAGGAGAAGAAGGAGCAGGAGGAGTCACTGAGCCATGTCTGATCAGCCTTTTCAGCATTTCTCTGGTTGGTTTATTTCAGCTCCAGGCATTAATTAGGCTTTTATTTTGAAAAATAGCTCAGACAGAACTCAGAGACTTCCTGCTTCACAGATACCAAAAGCAACAACAGAGGGAGGTCAGTGAGGCTGGAGGAGATCTGCTGGAGGAGCAGGAGAAGGAGGGCAGGAGCCTAAGCAGGTCTGAGGTTTGTTGCTATGGAAACAGTAAGAACCACTATGTTAGGATCAGCAGGTTAGTGGAATAGTTAGCAGGTTTATATTAACCTAAGGGGCTGATTTGAAGGGCAGCTTAGCTGAACTGGGTCAGAACCAAAATTAGCAGAAGACCAGATCAGAAGGAGAGCTTTACTGATCCGTCAGAATAACGGATCAGAACTTTGAAAGCATCAAACAGCTAAAGGACAGTTCTTCCTGCTCTGCTCATGTCTGATTGGCTGAAGAACAACTTCACCAGCCAATCAGGAGCTGGAGACAGTAAGCTCAGGGGCGGAGTTAGTACAGTGATGTCAGAGCAGCATCAGCAGGAAGTGAAGGAAGACCGATCAGAAAGGGGAACCTTTTAGGAGGGGCGTGGCCTCTGCTGCCCTCAGAGTGGGGGGAAGCTCTGTGGGAGGGGTGGGGTGGAACAGGGGAGGGGTCCTTTGTGGGGGACACCTCCTGGTGCTCCTGGATCTCCTCCATGTGAGAGCGATGGCTGACCACCTCCTTCTTCTTCTCTGGGCCGCTGTGAACAAAACCAGGACCATGAAGGAACTAGGTTCTAATGCGGTTCTGATCCGTTTCTATGTTTAAATCATTTCCTTCATGGATTTTATGCAAATTAACAACTTTCACACACTGAGAACATATTAAGTTCTAATACTGACTGCTTTAGATTTCTCCCAATCCAAAAACATGATGAAAAATGCTTAAAGGACAAAAGAAAAGTAACAAAATAGTCTTTGGATTAAAGTATTTGTGGATTCTGACGTTACAAACAATAACTAAAAAAACAATTTCCGGCCTCTGCAAAAGGCTCCATCAAAAACAGGAACAATAAGAAGCAAAAATGGATAAAACAAGGGTGGAATGGTGGAGGGTGAGGGTTCTCCCTACGGGGGAAGGGCCAGGGTTTACCCTACGGTGGAAGGGTGAGGGTTCTCCCTACGGGGGAAGGGCCA